CTTCGAGGTATTTTGCTAGCTGGAGCTAAACTACAACAGTCCCTACCACCACAATTATCAGCTACTTATCAGCTGCAATGTCTGTAGGCCTTCTGAGTCATGGGAGTGACACAGAACGGATTATGCCATCTTCATTCCACAGGACCTATGGTCTAAGGCTGAGGCATATTAGTGGTAGGTATGGGCATCCTTTCTCAGTTAATATGCTCTAAGATGTCATTGCCAGTGTTCTGACAAACACAAATCCATGCCAATTTGTATACTGCTGTGGATAAGAAGGAAGGTAACATATTTCTGTAGGCCATGTCCATAAAACACTCTGTTCTGGAAGTGGAAGGGTTTTGTTCTGTGCTGAAAGATTGACATCAAAAGTTTTCCCTTCTTAAAGTCTGTTTTGTCTTTCCTCTTACTTTTAAGTGTGTGCTACAACAATCCATTCCATCACGGAGAGAAACTGTCAAGTGAGGAGCCTGGCTGATCTCTTAGATAGTGTGGAAATGGCTTATGGAACAGATGTTAAACTTTACACCTTTGGACACATAAAACATAACAAACCTTATAAGCCTTCAGAGAAAATAAAACAGGGACAGTAGTACTCTGCCAGGAAAGAAACTAGTTTCACGACAGAAAGAAATTATTTCCCAGCTGAAAATGAAAGAGCAAGGAAGATGAAAAGATTTTCAGGTAATTTTTGTACCAGCATCCCTGTGTTTCCAGCATAGGCTGGGTCTTCCTGCCCTAACAACAGACAACCACGGTCATCTGTGACCAGTGTTGGTGCCTCAGCAGATTTTTCTACTTCGCTGGAAATGTTAAAGTTGAAAGCGCTTAAAAAGAAAGTTGAGGGGAGAACTGACAGACTCCATATGTGTCTCAAAAGAGATGTGTTAGATGTGTCAGAGATTATGGTGCTGAAAAACAAACCAGTTAAGAACAGCCGACAGTGTGTTATGCAGCTTGCCGAGGAGGAATACCAGCTCATACCTTCATACTTGGCTGATGTAACTAAAACAGAGCAGCGTAACAATTTCCTACATTTCCAGAAAGAGTTCATAGCAAAACACGAACTGGTGCAGAGTAACTTCACAGGGAACAAGGTATGAGAGCAGCATGAAAGGAAGCTGGCTAAGGTAAGAAAGAAACAATTTGAATCAGTGCAATTTTTCTGAGATAGTGTAACTCTGGCAAAGTTTAGCAGAAACCTATACTAACTATCAGTGACGGATTTTGATTAAATGGTCAAAATTTCTATCAGCCTTGGTTTGAAACAAGGATATTCACAAAGTGAAAAACTGCTGTAGGGTATTATCTACCTAAGATGCTTGTTGTGAAAAAGTTAATCTTAGGAACAGAGGACTTTGAAGTGAGGCCAGCAGCACTCAGGAGAAAAAGTTCACGACAGAGGAAGTAGCACAGTTTGCCTAAGAGACCCTTTCTTTCTCTCTCCCAGGTTTATTACTTAGAGCTGGTATGTTTAAGCATGAGATCATAAGTGTATGTCTTTTTACTGTTGTATTGCACAGCTAGGGTTTCTTGGATTATATATTTGATAATTACTTCTCTCTGAGCGAACAGTTGCTTTAAGGGATGCAACATGCTCCAGTGTCTGCTTCTTCCAAACCTGGAGTTGATCTGTTCAAGTCAGTAGAGATAGACAGACTAATTCATACTCATGGAAAGATTGGCTGTAAAGACGTAAGCAAGATATTCAACAATAAGTTGAAACATAATATGGTAATTGCCTTGTTTTCTACTTGTCTTTTTGAAGATTAGTGCATCCTGTCTTGTTGAAGGTAAGCTTTCTTCCTGCTTATGATCAAAATATAGAATTTATGCTTTGACCATGGCTTGATCTGGATTCTCATATTTCTTACCTCTTGCTGTCAGGAGAAATAGCATGAACTCCAACAAAGTAATACATTCTGACAGTAACAAATTTAAGGAACCTGCTGCATATGTGGTTATGCAGCTGTTCATTTTGATGATTGTACAGGACCTCCAGAAAATCTGTGGCTGTGATCCCCTCCATTTCAAGCAACTACAGGTTGTTGAGGAAGTATTTGAAGACATATGCAACAGCTTTCTGATAAGTGGTGATATTCTGATGGAAATTAAGGTGAGAAATATGCCTAAGGTTTAGCACACCATAAGCTGAATGTACCTTAACTATTTTAAATGCACTGTCTCCTAGTGCCATATGCCATTTTTTTTTCTCAGTGCATCTGGGACATTTAACCTTTCTTAGCTGCAGTGAGGAAAGTGATTCTTCTGGGGTTTTATGTCTTCAAGAGACTTTTCTCTGCCGTCTTGGTCACATGTTAAAATCAAATATACTAAACAAACTTTATGGGCTCATAGCATCACTTCTTCTTTTTTATTTAATCACTTGTGATCTCAAAGGGGATGGCTGATTTCTTCCTCATTTTTGGTCCTTCTCCCACTGTACATAGGTAGGCAAACAAGAGTAGAGAACAGAAAGGTTGAGAGATACGCCTCTAGAGAGAGTTGGTTTCAGTGATTTGAGATTACACCATTCCCATCTATAAGCATCATTATATTAATGAAGAAAGGAAAAATCACAAAGAATTGCACACCTCTGCAAGTCATCTGCAGGTGCAAAGTCCACAAGACCGGTGGAAATAACTTTGGGGAGAAAGGTGTATTGAAAATTGCTTATACTCAATGTTTCAGGATCACTGCTTTCCTTCATCAAATTAGGGCCATGACTGTGTGACTGTTAAGCATTTAATTTCTCTCTCTCTTTTTTTTTTTTTTTAATAGTTGACTAGCAAACTAAACTGCATGGCTATAAAAGCCACATAATTTTGGTGTTAGTGTGTTTCTTGTTCTGCTTCTGGCCCTACTCCTAAGACAAAAAAACCCTGCATATGTCCCAGTGTTCCTACTTTAACTTTATGCCTTTTAATTAACCATATAGCAGCAAGCCATGACACTTTATCCCTGCAGTGTCCCCCAGGTTACAGGTTGCAAGACAGCAGCATCCCATGCAATACTTATATTTGCACTTTCTCGCATGTTTCTGTATGATTAGGAAAGAAGGGCAGACAGCTTTTGGGAAAGACATGTGAGTGCTTTCCCAGCATTCCCCTAATGTACTATGTGAGTTACACAAACAGATACTAAACATCTGACTGCCACTGAAACACTTTGACAAAAGCATTGCTAAAAAAAAGAAAAACAAACCACAAGCAAACAAAACCCCCTCAAAGCTGCAACCTTCATTAACTTTTTTTAAACTCTAGCCCTAATTCTAAAATCCTTAAGACGTTTGAGGGGGAAAAAAAAAAAATCAGGCTGCAACCTACTGGTGAATTATTTTTCCACCTCTCCCTTTGACAGTTACATGTGAGGAGTGATAATTCTTATCTGACTTGTCAGGCAGTTTCCTTTTTTTTTTTTTCCCCTTTGATTTTTCACTGTACTGAAGGATGAGACTTAATCCTTTATTTTGCGACCAAACCTGTTTGTTTCTGCTCTTGGGCATTCAGGACAGTGATTTGCATGTGAAACACAACTAAAATATTATAGGTGAAAATGAAGTTGCACTCTGACTATGTACACAGTGATGTGGTGCAAATGATGGTAAAAATTCTGCATTGACTCTGCCAATAACAACTGAGGGGGGAAAAAAGTAATATTTATCAACAAAATAATTACCCACTAAGGTCCAGCATTCGTAGGCAAGAGAAAGGTGTGCTGGTTTCAGGCAGGAATGAGCTCCTTTACTTCACAGTGTTGTTGGCTTGCCCAGAGCAGCCGAGAGATTTGTTTCATTCCATGGTACGTCAGGCCCAGGGCACATGTGCAGTTTGGCAGGTTCTTTTGTTAGTGGGTTGTGTGGGCCGGTGGATTTTCTCCCTGCTCTAGGGCTCTCAGGCAGGGATTGCTTGCTGCTCTGGGACCTGACTCTATGTCAGTCAGCAGGTGGTGAGCTACTGTGTCATATGTTCTATTTTCTATTGTTCTAATTACTTCTTATTAGTAGTATTGTTAGTATTACTATTGTTATAATTTTAACTTATATTATTAAATAGTTCTTGTCTCAAATATATGAGCTTTCCTTCTCTTTTCCTATGACTCTCTTTCTGTACCGGATGGGGGTGGGGAGGAGGTGAGTGAGCAGCTGTGTGGTACTTAATTGCCAGATAAGGTTAAATCACAACAGTTCTTTTTGGTGCCCAACGTGGGGCTCGAGGGAGTTGAGATAAGAACAGACTTGATTATTGTGTGATAAGTATTTGGTATAACGTTGTGGTGGTGGCTGATCAAGACATTGAGTTCAGGGGGTTTTAAATTGCTAACAGAATGGTGAGATCTACTGCCTTGTGTGTTCCTTAGTCTGATTTTATATGCTCAAACTGGGTTGAGGGGTTTGGTTAGGCTCTTCAGTGTACTGCTGATGTTGGGAGGAATCGTCTATCTGTATCTAATATTGTTAGCATCCTGGTACTTTGCGAGTTATGTACTGGAGGCTTTCAATAATTACACCTTTCCATTTTTCTCCTCGGGAACTCAGCCTGTAGAGGAGAGATTATTCGGTGCTGGCTTGGATGTGGAGAAATTATTGCAATTATTTTCCCTCTTCTCTTGGGCCAATAGCAAAAGTATATGAGCATTTTGGAAATTCTTCATGGGCCTGGGGTGAATTATGATTAGAGATCAGCATGCCTCTGAATGTTCTCATGATCTTGTCTAAAGTTAAAGAAAAGTTTGGGAATGCTGCCCCATCTGCTGCCAGTGCTCAGGGCAGAGGCAGGTTCTGTGCGGCCAGCCAAATCACCCTAATGCAAGGTGAGGTGGCACAGACCTGTGTGGTGGGCAGGGCAGTGGCCCAAGCCAGCTGCAACCATGGCCATGTCACCTCCTACCGCGGCGAGTCCACTTCATACCATGGCTAATCCACCTGCCACAGTGGCTCCACTTCCACAAACCCCTGTGTGCCAGTGCCATCGTCAGTGTCAGCCTGTGCCATTGTCAGTTACCCCAGTAGAGAAAAAGAAATACCCTTTTGTATTCTTCCTCTTTTTTCTTTCCTTTTTTTTCCCTACTCCAAAACATAGTCCCCTTCCACTCCTGTGAAAAATAACGTCAGGCCAGTGTTCTCCATTGACCCAGAGATAGTCCCTTGGATCTGCTCTGAGGATTTCACCCTAGTTATCCTCTCTCTTTGGCACTGAGCCTACGAGTTCCTGTGTGATATTGACAATCTGTTGAAATGAAATGAAGGGTAATGATGAATGTGGCACAGCTGACAGCATAAGTGCTTTGTCAAGGATGAGTAACACACCGCACAGTGGCAAAACACCTGAAAGGATTGTCCAAAAGCAAGAGGTCTGCATGAGTCTGAGGCTTCATATTTACCATTTGTAACACACAGAGAGACTCATCCATATTATTTTTTACCTGTAACAAACCTTTCATCTATCTACAAACAGAAAGAACTTTCAGTGACTCTTAAAACTGCCATAGTTAGGGTTGGGGTTTTTTTTATGTGTGTGTCTGGCCATATTAGCTCTTAGCCTCATGAGCAACTCATTCAGTTTTCATCAGAACTGAATTTTACTGAAAATGTAATATTTAAAATGGTGCCAGAACCTGCAGGAAAGGAAATAAATATTCAATGGCATGACTTCACGTTTTACTCTTTCTCATGCATTCTCATATGCTCTGAAGGCTCAGGCCAAAGGGATTGAAAAAAAAGGCTTCAAAAGCTTCAGGACTACAGACATTCAGGAAAGATGTGCAGGTTCTCATGAAGAAAGCTAGTACTGATCTGGAAAGAAAGACAGAGTAAGTGTTGCAGATGCTGGCAACCCCTCTAACAGCAGTCAGGTAGATGGGATAAAGCAAGAAGCAGGTAAACAGAGTTCTTGAAGTTTTTACAGACATCAGGTCTTGGAGGGAGCCTATGAATGGCCTGTTCTAGGCAAAAATGTTTCTCCTTTCTTAATATGTATTTTTGATCCATTTTTTTGTATCAATGTTACTAGGAAACATTGCTTAGCTCTGAGCAGAACAAAGGCTTTCTTCTGCCATTTCTTATTGACCCCCACCAAAGAACTTGATCATCACAGAGAAGTCTCCTGACCATGCAGCCTGCATTGTTGAATTTCAGACTTTGTCACTTTTGCTGGGACTTTGGCTTTGTTCCCTGTTACGGAGGCAACAGTCTGTGCTTTCAATTGCCTGTGTTCTTTGCTCTAAGACATGACTTGGTTTGACTTCCTTATTTTGACTAGCTTATTCACAAACTTTTTGAGGCTCCCTGCCTTCTTTGGACAGATGTTATGTTTCCATGCCTCTTCTGTGTGCTCCTGATACTTTATATCAGAGCTTCCAAATCTCCTTGCTCCTGGTCCAAGCTCTGATCTCACTAGCTACCCTCAATATTTGACCTGATGATGCCCCTTCTTACCCATCCTTTTTTCTTGTAAATGTAACTCTAACTGGACTAGATGGCTTAAGAGGTCTTTTATGTCTTTGCAGTTGTTGTTTCCAGCGGATTTGATGCGTACATATTACAGTATTCACACTGTGATTTCAAAATGTCATTTGGATGATTCTGAAGTTAAGAAACTGGAGTGTGAGAGACTCATGTTCACTAGTTACTGCTAGTGTAAACAGGAAGGTAATTTAGTTGCCCAGTACTCTACACGTCTTTACTTGTCTACAGAGAGAGAATTTATGGTGTGTTACTGTGAGATAAAGTCAAAGTGGCATGAATTTAAAATGGATCGGGGCATAGTGTGCAATATTTATAGAGTACGCATATGCAAATTTTATCTAGGCTACGGAAATTGATTTTTGTACAAGCTTTTATAAATATTTTAGAGGTAAAGGGGGAAAATATGACATTTTGTCTTCTGCCAAAGGGCTGAAAGGGAATAATGATAAATGTGCTAGAATGATCTAAAGGAGTTCTTGAGATATTTGACAGCTATAGGTATAAAAATTCAATACCCTGTAAGACTGTTAAGTTCTGGATAACAATCTGTTTCCAGAGAAGTCTAGGAACTTGTACTATCCTAATGACTTTCTAGCTTTGCATGCAAACTAACAATCAAAATGTGAGTAATTTGCATGCATTAGATGCTACTGAGGACCTAAGACTGATTTTTTCTTCTTGCTATATATAGTGTATGTGTAGTTCTTTCCATGTATAGGGTAACCATCCTTGGATGGTGGGCAGTGGAAAAGATTTTCATACAAGACTGATGTGATTTTTAAAATAACATTGGTTAGCAGATGTTAGAATATCTGGTAGGATTTTTGAGATCTAGTGAGGAGAGGAGAAGTAAGAATACTGAAGTATATGAGAAGAACTAAGCTGTTCACTTATGTTATTGTGATACCTATGTGTCTCACTATGTATATGTAATTGCATCACTATTTGTATTCAGTGAACAAGAGGTTTCCCCTCTTAGGTAAAGAGGCTGCAGTTTTAATGAAGTAAAAAGTGATTGTTTGAATCCTGTTAGCTCCTCACAGAGTTTTAATTCTTCTCTCCTTTGCATCACTGATCATTCAGACCAGGAATAACCTCGCTGAAATTCAGTGAGCTTGAATTTGCTCTATGACCTGCTAGAGAAACATTTGACCCCTGGAAATGTGTAATAGTCTTCATTACACATCACAACTATTTGCTCATGTCTAATTTTGTATATGATCTTGAAAAGATATTTCTGAAACTGTTGTTCTCTTTATTCTATTCTAGACGGGGGAATGAATTAGAAATGGTTCTACGGTTGTGATGAAACAGTTCTGAGTCAAGCAGAAAAAAAACAAGGCATAAATTATAATAAGGTGTTCTAAAGGGTTGGAAGGAAAACCAACCAAATATTACCTCAGCTGTTCAGATTTTTCCTGTTACTATGATCCAAATGTGCTGGCATCTTATGAAACCAGACGCATAGCATCTTTCTTATACCTCTTTCACTCCTGGCCTTATCGGAAACCAGTAGATGTCAGAAGCAGAAAAAAAACAAGGCATAAATTATAATAAGGTGTTCTAAAGGGTTGGAAGGAAAACCAACCAAATATTACCTCAGCTGTTCAGATTTTTCCTGTTACTATGATCCAAATGTGCTGGCATCTTATGAAACCAGACGCATAGCATCTTTCTTATACCTCTTTCACTCCTGGCCTTATCGGAAACCAGTAGATGTCAGTGGGATTAGGGAACTGCCAAATCATCTCTATGAGTCTGTGACTGATTCTGTCACTCTCAGAGTCACAGCACTATGATGTGTTAAAGATGTCTCAGGGGATGGTACATGAAACCCTTCAGCTGGCAGAAACCTGATAACTGGATTTCATGCTTATCATGAATAGGTTAAGCCCTGATTCATGTGCTTTCAGGTTCTATTCCTAAACTACTACTCAGCCTGTATCAGTCCTAGATGCTAGTTATCCATACAATAGTCCAGTTCTTCTTGGATGTTTGTTGAGTAATTTGGTTCATTAATAGCAATGAGGTTTACAGTCTGTTTATGTACTGCTTGAGAAAGGAGTTTCTTCTGAGAAGGCCTTCAGTCAGTGCACTCTAAATCAGGACCTTTGAATAAGGTTAAATACAGAAATCTGGAAAGTTGTGGAAGAACAAAAAGAAAAGCTGACTGATGATGAGCTGGGAAATGCGGTGAAATGCCATCAGGGTACAGTACACTATTACTAGTCTTACCATAATACACCTGTATTTTATGCCTTTATTGAAAACCTGCACTCAAAACACAGTTTTCTTCCAGAGCATGAGAAGATACCAGTTAGCAAATTATAATGTGTTAAATAAGGAAATAGCTGTTTAAGTGGTGATATGAAATGCCTCCTGCATTTCCTCTTTGAGGAAAGAGGAAGACCTAAATCTGCTTTCTGTGCAGCATCTCAGTGTCCTAGTGTCCTGCTCCAGGCAGTTGTTAGCTTCACCAGGGGCAGTTCCTGTCACTGGCATTTAACCCAATTTTACAAACACACCTTCAGTAGGAGCGATGCTTGAACAATCAAACCAGCTTCTGCTTTTATTTTTTTTCTCTGCAATTAAACAGGCCTAAATTCCTCCCTAGTGCAACTGTCTTCCTGTCTATGAATGTATGCCTGAATGCAGCTGCCCTGATTATATTTGTTTCTACAACATGGTACAGGTTTTGAATTCTAGAGCGTTGCAGCCAACCACTAAAAAAACCATAAAATCAGTCATTGGCTCTGGGTCTCCCGCAGGACTAATGAATAAAACAATCAGAACTCTCTAGGCCAAGGCATATCTGAGGAATGGTTTTGCATAAAATGAGCTAAAAGACATTTAAACAATAGGTAAAGGTTTCTCCCCTTCTCCTCCCTACCAGGTACTAATTTAAAAAGTACTTATTCAGTTAACCTCAAACTTCCCCTCCCTACCTTCCTCAATTACACACTGAGGAATCAAAATCAGCCAAGTCAGAAAGATGTAAATGTTGCTATTCTTTTTTTGTGTTATAGCTGTATTTAGAAGCTCAAGCCAAGAAATTTGGGCCAAATGTGTTAACATGTACTGGTACTGTAGGTAACAAGGCTCTGAAAATAACGTTTGTCGGGGGGTTTTTTGTTTGTTTAGTTTGGGTTTGTGTGAGGTAGGGTGTTAAACAATTAAAATAGTATTCAATCTAAGTTAACTTGGAATGAGAACTTTGTAGTTTTCCCAGAAGAAAAAATGAATATCTGATTATTTTAAAAATTTGAATAAAATGTTTTCTAAAAAAGAAGGCATTATTTTTTTCTCTTCAGGTAGTATTTCTGTAAGGCCCTTCCAGGCCCAGTAGCTATCCTGATCCACAGAGGGCAGATATGCTCTTTATCCTTTTCAGTATCTCACACGAAAGAACAGGATTTTTGAGAAGCTGGTGGCTGTTAGCCCCTGGGATGAGGAGCAGCAAGAAGCACGGTCAGGCACTTTCCCCACGTGAGGCAGCACATTATTTGACTTGGGCTCACGCGCTCTTCCTCCAACCTGCCTCACCTGGCCTCAAAGCTGTGGTCTATTGACTGGACCTATTGACTGTGCATTGATACTGCACTGCAGACCATGAGTCTGGTGGCCCATGACAAGCTGCTTGGAGAGTAGGAAATTTAGGTGTCTTGGGATTAAAACAAGCAGTCTTTGATTGTTAAAACATTGTCGTTACACAATGCAGTGGCCTAGTCCTGAATCTGACAGCATGGCACAAAGCTGGTACATGGCAAATGTGGCTAATGAACTACTATGGGATCTGAAAGCTCCTCTCAGTTCCAGGGCATCCCGAGTCACCAGGGCCTGCTCACTGCCGCAGTTGGACAAGCCAGGCTGCACCATTAGGAGCTCTCGCACGACACAGGCAGACTCTTTCCCTCCACTGGTGTCTTCCCTCCTCCTTCTTTCCTCCCTTTGCCTGCCCTGCAACCACAGAGCCTTGGGGGTGTAACCCTGCACCCTGGTATCTTCCCTGACTGCTCCACTTTCCATAGCTTCCCTTGAGGACAAACATCAAGAAGTGAACCAAGGCATGGTAGGTAGGTCAAACAGCATGACATTGAGCTGCACTGTCACCGGGGAAGAAAGTAGTTTAATTCTATATCGGTCCCGACCCTTGGAGTGAGAGGTACTGTTAATCTGTGCACATAGCTCCCCTCATTCCCTAGGTGAGGGACTGGCAAAACCCCATAATACAGCTCTGGCTGCAGCAGCAAGGACACCGAGAGGCTGCAGATGAACTCACTGACATGCTGTGAAAAGCTCTTTGACTCCCTTAAAGCCCTGGCTGGACAGGAGAGTGAGGTGGCCATGTAGGATCTGGTAAGATCATGTTACTGACATGTTTTGGTGAGGTGAGAGGGTGAGGTGGCTGTGAAGCTGGCCTGTAAAATTCCGAAATGCCTTTTCTGGACTCTGCTAAGGGACTACAGCATGTTTATTCTGCTCCTTGCATGCTGTACCTGTTCTCCATGCTGGGATTCAGTGACTTCCTCCTTGACTGTATTCCCGTTTTGTCTAGAGCCTGACCATATTTTTGCATGAAATGCTGAAGGGCCTTAGTTGGGGTAACTGTGAAAGGTGAGTGGCATAGCTCGTGTGCCAGTGTTCAGACTGGTGGAAATGAAGTGTGGGTACAGTGGGGGCATGTACCAGCTGAAATGGGGGCAGTGTTGTGGCTTCTCCTGGTCTGTGCTGCTCAGCTTGGTTAACTCAAGCTTGTACTTGGGTATGCCTAAGGAGAGCATTACGGACACAGCTTTCCACTGCCAGCTCTGTCCTTTAAATTGTGCATGTATTTTTATACTTCCAGAAACCAGCAGCAAACACGAGACAAAGAGGATAGCACAAAACCCACTTTCTGTTTCTGAACAGCTTGACGCTATGAAGTATGAAGTTCTTGATAAATGGGTGATGGGAAAGAGACAATGATTTATGCTGGGGCAGTGGATGAAATGGAGAACACTCCTGAAGAAATAGAGGCAAGAAATCATTAACCCTAAACATGTCCTACCAAGGTTTCATGAAGTACTGGTGTCCAGGGGTAATACCACGATGGACCCTTGAGCACTGAGACTGACACTCAATGGTCTTTATTTTGTCCTCTGAGAACATAGTGTGCACCTGGTCAAGGCACTTCTATGATTACTACAGTGTCCGGCATCTGATTCTGCAACTGGAGGCTTGTAGGTTGATCCTCCCTGTGTCAGATGATGGTCTGCAGACATAGGGGTTATTTCTGCATTCATGTTATGAGTTTGGAGGTTTGTAACCAAATACATTAGAGAACTAGGGTATCATTAATTTTAACCTGTTTTATTTCTCAGCCTGGCTATTGGCATTGTTCTGGTTGGGATTTTCAAGTATCCCAAGCTGGCATCATCACCCTTAAAATGAATACTGAAATGCCCAGTAACAGTAACTTCAAAGGGGGAGAGATAGGACAGTCCTGATTCCCTTTGAAATCCCATTTCTAGATGCTTAAATAACTGAACATTACTGTAGACTATTCACTGGGATATATGAATGACCGTAGCTGTGAACACATTACAGACACAGACAGGAAGGTCAGGTTTAAGTCAGGATTGAAAAAAGAGAGCTATGATGGATTGTTCATGTCAAGTAATTGAATTTTAATAAATTTACAAACATTAACTTGAATACGTGTTTACAGAATAGTGGTATTACTTTTTTTTTTTTTTTGGTAATTCACTAGGCTCTGTGTCAGTATTGGTTGAGCTCTCATTGTTGATGTTATACAAAGCAAACAGTGAGAGACAGGCTTATACCGAATATTGTGCAATCCAAGGTACAGAACTTGCAGAGATTTGTTTATGTGCCAAAATTTGCATGCTGAGAGTGGTCTGTGTGAGGATCACTTAAACTATAAAAGTTAGATGCTTGCAAATTTGAATGCAGGATTACTACATTCAGCATTTAAAACCAGTATTCCTCTTCTGCTGGCAGTTGTGCTGTTAGAAATAGCACATGATCTCAATTAAGGCACTTTTAACCTGTCCTTGTTACTGGTTACACTGCTAAGTGTTCCAGCTGTGTGAATTAAGGAGGTAATTTCATGCACTTAAATAGATGCTAAAAGTACAGTCAGCATGAATAGGGAATAATGTGCCACTCTTAATGGTGGGCAAACAGCAGTTGTTTACGCAGAGCTTGTGTTTGGCTAAGCATCTAAAAGGTCAAACATTTCCCCAAACTTTCTGTCCCCTGAAGCAAGGTTATACCTGTAGGCAGAACATCAAATAAATTAATTGGCTGTACTGAGAATGAAACAGAGCTGCCAGAAGTTCACAAGAAAGCTTTAAAAAACTATGAAAAACATGTAATCTGAAAATTGTCCAAAGTCTGTATTTCTCTCTTCAGCAGTTCAGGTTTAGGTACAGCCATTGTGTTCTTGTACTGTGCATGGATGCTTTTAAATTTAATCATATATTTAAGACCATTGCTTTTCCTGTCAAATTTTTGGACCAGCCCCTTGCACTGCTGCTTAAGAGTAGAAGACAGAAGTCTGTCACTTCTTTCTAAAACAATTAGCAGGCTTCCAGCATCAGAGCACTTAGGGAGGAGGAGGTGAACTCTTGGTTAATTTAGAAAAATTTACTTGGTATCAAGATAGTAAAATAATGAATAACAGCAATTAGTCATGTTAACTTTTTCTTTTTTTTTCTTTTCCTGGCAAACAGGAGACTTTGGGCTCCATGTGCCTTCTGAAATGTTCCTGTGCATGGTCTGTAAGACATACTCATTTGTTATCACGCTGTGGGAACATACGGAATCTGGTCCTCTGAATAAATAGCCACTCTGAGAAGTTCCTCTCTCTGCTTTTTTAAAACAAATATGAATATTCAGAAGGTCTTTAAATATAAACTGCTGGTTCCTAGAGTAGGTTTTTTTAGGGGGGTAGGGGGGAAGGGACTGGGCTTTGTCTGTACTGTAATGAAAAAGGAGAGTCAGCAGATGGCAGTGTTGTACAGCTGTTGCAGCAGGAGAGCGCCACATCAGCAAGGGAGGGAAACCTTCCATACTCCCTAAATAGCCCTGAGGAAAAATGGAGTGGCCCCTCCAGGCCGTTGGACAGTTGGCCCTCCAAGCATACTCTCGCTGAATGCTTTGTGTAGGCCTGCTGAGTTGTTACTACTATTTGTAACAGCAATTCAGCATTTAAAAGCCCTCATTTGAAAGGGCAAGTCCATTATCATTTAAGAAGAGCAATCTAATTAAACTAGTGCATTTCCATATTCTTTTAAAAACATGATTTCATAATGCTACATAAGTACAACGTGTTCTTTCCCACACAGATTGCATTTTTAAAAAGATAAGTGGGTCTGATGAATTTGCTTTTGCTGGAATGTTGTGTGACAATTTAACTGATCTGTTACTGCCTTTTCAGGCTGAAACTATGAAAATCAACTCGACACGTTTCTCTAAGGCCAAATAGAAGTAAGTTATTTCCTTAGAGCCCACTGTGGTTCAGGCATAATGCAAACTAATTTATACATGAGTTACCTAATCCCCAATCAGTGGAAAACTTCTCTTCGGCTTTAGCAAGTTCCAGATTTGGCCTGCTCTGCTTTGCCAGGTAGAAAGTAACAGATATATTTCAACCTCATGTTTGTTTGGTGTTTCTTTTTTTTGTTTGTTTTGTGTTTGTTTGTTTGGTTGGGTTTTTTTTTAACTACTGTGTAGAGCTATTAGGGTGCTCTGATCTAAATCTGTAAATCAAAGCTGCAAAAGCTCTCTGCTTCCAACTGTACTGAAGGCACTGGAATGAGGTAAAAGAGCCTGTGGTGGTAGGTAACTCCAACATATAAAATCTGTGGAATAGCTCAGCAAGAAGACATTGGAAAGACTGCTGTAAGATATAGGGACTAACAGATGTCTTGAGTGGAGAAAACTGTGTAATAACTTGAATAAAACAATCTTTGGCTCAGATGATATTCTGCTGCACAGTCATAAGTCTGAATCTCTTTGTTAGTAGCCAAAAGAGCAGGCATCATTTCAGATGTTAGTGGAATGTGAAGTACAAAGCTCTTTGCATCCAGAGTTTCATCTAGCAGCTCAGTCTAAAAGCCAGAAATGGACATATATGCTGGAATACAAAATTATGTCACTTCAATGTATTGAAGTAATTGGTTTAGAAAAAGCAATGCTATAAACACTCTTCCTTGTTTACATGGTAAGACCTGATTTTACTGTCTGTCGGGTTTCCCTCAGGGTACAAGAACTGGCAAGAAGTGAGGCTGTATGTCAGACTCAAAGACGTGTGTAACTTGATACGTTGTGCTAAATTAAAACTGCTGTCACACAGGAACTACTTACTATAATTTATGTCAAGGTTAATGGAGTAAAAAGTATTGGAGTATTTTAAATGCTGATCAGACATGTTTCCAATTAGTATCACTGCAGATTTTTTCCTATGTGCTGAAGGATATTTCAGTGTTTTTCAAAATTTATGTCTTTTTTACAGGAAGTTGGAGGAAATATCACAGAAATTTTACATAAACTGAGAATCACTCAGGAAAGTCAAAGGTGAGTCTGAAATGTTCAAATATCTAAGTCAGTGTGGTTACACAGAAAGTGTTAAAGTGATGGAAATGCCTGTCATAACAACCTGCTAGGCCAAAGTAAGACAGATTAGTTATTAATAGCAGATGCATTCAAGTGCTGGTTGCAGAGCACACATAACAGCAGCTGGGAGTCATAATCAGATATTATAGATTTGGCTTCAACGTGGCCCAGAGTGTTAAATAAGAAAAATTAACAGTGGGAATTATGCATAGTGTTTGATTAACAACTCTGATTGCTTCAGTTGTTTATTTAGGCATAGAACAGACACATTATGGTACTTGTTAAAGCCTTTTAATTTTTCTGACAGTGTCCTGCTGATGTTTTTTCACACCTGATATGGAGGAATTTAATCCCTTGTCTGTTCTGACAGTGCTCACTAATGCCAGTTTTGGTAACTTCTTTTTGAAGTGGAATTTTTTTATGTTGGGAACTGGCTTGAGATTTCTAGTTTTGTTTCATGTAAACAAAGTTTGTTTCTTTGTTTCTTGGAAAAGGGTGGATTATGGCGTCACCTCAGGCACTTGAGGTAACACATTTTCAGAAGTTAAAGCATGAAGCTTTGGTTACTGATGCTGCAGGTCAGAAGTAAATACTGAATATATTTGTTGCTGTAGTGCTTTCAGTATTTAGGTTTAGCCCCAGACTGTCTATTCTTGCTATGCTTTTAATGTTCCAGAGCCTTGGATGAGAAGCTATACAAGCTGAAACAACATGGGAGTCTGTCTCTACTTATCCACCCACTCTTACTGCCATGAAACGCACATACTCAGATAGGTATAGGTTTTAACATAGCTTCAGATTGGTTGTGAGTTTGTAGTGGTGCTCACAGGTTGGCTTTTCATACTTGAATTACAGTTATACAAAACCTGAGCAAATGTCAGACATAACTAAGGCTCCGTATGAACTGAAAAAAATAAAGTTTATTGTCTGAATTGAAAAAATAGAGTTTATTGTCTGAACAGAAGATAGCTATTCACTCATGTGCCCTGCTATTATCCACAGACATTTTTGCACCTGCAAATTAGTGGTGTAAGAAATCAATGCAACCAGACAACTCGGGTAGTGGCAGGCTGTGATCAGTCTGTTAGTTTGCTACTTGCCTAACTTATTCGTTTATATCTGCACATGTAATGCAAATGATTTAATGTCAGTTGGAGCTGGACATGGCAGGTTAGTAAAAGGCCTGAGCAACAGTGAGAAAAGCTCACAGATATTGTTGCACTTTGGGTCAGCCTTTTAGGTTTTCGTACATAAGACAGACATTATCAAGTTGTCTCCTGTTGTTATAACACAACACCATCTAGGAGAAGAGTTTCTCAAATTTAGATGTCGGGTGATGTTTTGTGCCATAGGGTCCAGAACAGTCACTGCAGGTTCCTGTTGTGTTTGTCTGTGAGCTGTACGCTTTCATGCACAGTTGTGAGGTTGTTAGTAAAAATCCGAAATGATACAGACTCCAAAGATCAAGATCCATTAACACAGGAAAAACTGATTCTATTTTCATCTTATTGCCAACATTTGGTGTTAAAGAAGGTATGTTTTGTTTGCTGACACAGGCAGAAACTTTTGCTTTTAAATAGTATTAGGCAAGTAAGAAAAATATTTTTTTCAAAGAAGACTTGAGTCTTAGCAAAAAAGAACCCTGAACTCAGGTCTTATGAGATATAAAAATTTGCAATTAACTTTTAGCTTACAATAAAAAAATCATGAATTCTGGGAGTCTATGGAATCTTAAAATTAAGGATAAGCTTCAGTTAATTTACTGTTTCTGGCTCCTCGATTTAGTTGAGAATTGCCAAGGTCAGATTTCACAAGGTGTTATGTACAGTTTCAGTAGACTTTTGTTGTTGGTTGGTGGCAGTGCGAAAAGCTCTCAATTGAGGAACTGTTACCTCATGATGTAAGACAACTAATACAGGATAATTTCATGAACATGGAAAGAACCCGCTTTGTGGTATGAAGTTACTGTATATTATGTTGTTAAAATTTCCTGGATGGATGCATTCATTAAGCTTAATGAGGGGAAGGGGAGGAATTGGAAGAGAACAACAGTAAAGCAAAGCATGAAATCTAAATAAACAGTCTCTCCACAAACAGCATGGAGAGCACTTACTAGACAATGGCGTATATCTGGCCTCCTGCTTAAATTTGCAAGACTTGCTTTGCTAGGGCCGAGTGCTAGTAGATCTAGAAGTTCATAGGTGATTACAAAATTATATGCAAAATTACATGAAAGTGTGTTGGTTACTGATAGTTATGTTCCCTTCAGGAACTGAACACAACTGAGGGTAGCTGAGGTAGTAAGAATGACATAAAGGACCTGTATGAATAGGAGAGTCCTTTGATCCTTCTCTTCAAAAAGATATTGTTGGGTCATGGTCTAAGAACATGCACAACAAGAATGGTGCAAACAGGATGATAAAAGATGATCAAACTTGCATTTGCTTAGAAATTACAGAACTGTGCGTGAACCTACTTTCAGGTATTACTTTTATTTTGAAATGAGAGTTGCATGACCTGCAGATAAAGTGTGGAACTTAATAGATAAAAGTCAATGTCATCTGGCAGACTAAACGTGGAAGAAAATGAAGCACAGTTCTGTCTGAGAGGATAATAGGATGTATTTTGTGAAAAGTTAAAATTTGGGAACATTATTAATGTGGAGTAATTGGTCAGCCAAAAGGCTATTAGAAATAAAACTTCAAGGTAATTGGTAGTAGATTTAGTTGAATACAAGGTTAATTAGTCTCATTTGTATGATGTTAATTATTAAAAGTAATCAGCCCTGGGATACATACAGAAGCACTCTCAATAAATGTTTAAAAAAAAAACACCCAACAGAAAGGCTCCTACATTTTGCTTCCAGCAGAGCTTATATATAAACCTTTTAAAGATGCACATTGTCTTATTTGCATAATAGAATGCTTTACAAAATGAATGGCCAAAATTCTGTCCCTCCCCCCAGTGTTATGAATCACATTTCTAGAACTGACATTATTCTCTTTCTCCAGGACAGATCAGGGAGACTGAAACATTAACAGTAGCATGAAATTTCTGAATCAAAGCCTATCTTGAGGCATGATTAAGGGAGGGTGTCTAATTATCTGAAGTCAAAACTGTATCATCCTTTGCCCTTAATGCACATAGGATAACTTAGATGACATTTAATTAGAGGCAAAGCATGGATTAATACTTATTTAATATCTACAGTAGAAACTTCCCTCAGGTGCTAAGAGATTGTCCAGTGAATTGGGGCAAATACTTAGCCTGTGTCTGCAGCTGAATAAATAATTTTCTGCAAACAATTTACTTAGCCGAGTAGCTAGTGTTTCTGCAACAAGAATGTGATTACTTCAGGCTTAGCAGCTATCTGATGAAAACCTTTTTTATTTTTAATGTTCCTTTGAAATGAAAAATATTCAAAATACAAAAGTTTGAAAACCGTTGTTTAGCTGTAAATGGATGGATGAAGTCATATGGTTTTATATGTTTTCCTGGTTAGAGGGTTGTATCCACATCTCTAGTGGAAGCAGTGAAATTCCTTTTGGACTTTGTTTCCATTCTCATTTGTATTGGTTGACTGTCATGACTTTGTAGAAGGTGGTTAGAAAACAACTGCAAAATATGATGAAATACATTCTTTTTAATGTGAACAAATAATGTGAACTGCATTTATTGTCAGGCCTTAACAGAGCTATTTTATCCTTGCCTATGTGATTGTAGGAGGGGAAGGCAGCGGCAAAGCAAGCTATGCTGTGGAAACGATGATGTCCACACTGAGCATTATAAAACCTTATGGACCAGTGTGATGGATATACATGATCTTTACTTTCAGTGCATAATGCCAGATCTAGAAAAGGTTAATCTCCTGATCTCCGTTCTTTAGAAAGCTGTAGAGGGGAACAACATATCTTTACATTCTAGAGCTGCTGCACTGAGTTGAGAACAACAGGCAGGTGGATGATAGCTTTCTGCCTAGATCCATTCCAACAAATTTCAGTCATCTAGCAAGGTATTAGGGAGGATGAGTCATCCTCTGGAGATTAATCTTTCTCTCTCTCTAAGCAACCTGAAGTGCCTGAAGTTAGATGAGTTGGTCTTAATTCCTTTTGAATGGCTCATAATGGGAAGACTCCCCACTGCTGCCTGTGTTTGCATTGGGGTGTTGCCTGTCTCCCTGCCAGATCTCAATTTCTGCTCAGTGATTTTGTTTCTTGCATGCTATACTTTCTTTAGGAAGGTGTGGGAGCTAATAGAGCGAGACTTGTTACCAGAAAATGAACAATGAATTTCTGAGAATCCAGAAGAAAATAAGGGTAATGAAGTAAGGAAAGATAAATACTCAGCACTTTGAATGTATTCTTAATATCTTGAAGTTGTACAAGTGGAATCCAGGCTTGAAAAACTACTGTTGGACCTTAGAATCACATATTATAATGCAACTTCAGAATCAGAAATGTGATTTCATTTTTTGTGTACATTATTGTGGATAGCTGTAATGTCTGCATAAAGAGATATTTTCATATAACATTTTTTAGAAAAGGTCTTGTGTTCCTAATTGTTATATTAAATAGCTGTGTTGTTCTATACAGTTTTCAGTAGACGCTGCCCTCATTCCATCATGGTGTCTTTCCTTATGGGAGCACCATTAGGTATTAATTAAACTCTCAGGACAGAACTCACAAGTGGAAGTTATTTAAGTAAATCAAAGCTGCATCTTCTAAATAAGGTATGTATACTAGTCTTGCATCAAGCCTTGAACTATGGTGGTACATTCTGGCATATGAATGTTGCTTATGTGAGTCTTTTAATGATCCCCAAATTTTAGCTTTCATTTTATGAAATCTGACAATAGGTACAGAATTTTTTTGAAAGCATGTGTCAGATTCAGATCAAGTGGAAGCATCGGCCTGATTTTGCAGAAAGCCTGAAAAGACAGGTCAAATAAAAGAAGCAGCACT